GCAACAGGGACACTCGTTCAAGGACTTTATTTGAACTGCTAGAAATCAAAAAGTAGAAAAAAGAAGCTATTCAAGAAAAGAAAAATATGCAGGATCCCCTTATTTTTCTTAATGAGATTACAAGGAAATATTATACATACTATATTATTATCATCATTATCACCACCACCACCACCATCCCTACAGTATAAACTCTCTCATATTGTTATATGTATTTAATTCTTACACACTGGATCTGCAGTAGTACACCAGGCACTTAATCCATTTTCATAATATGGAGATCAGTCCAACTCCAAAAACAACATATGGGAATATCAATATATATTATCACATAGCTGGGACTAGTTCACTGGGACTTGTGTGTTACTCAAAGCCAGCAAAGTTATATGTAGCCTTGTTCTTTTGTAAGATATTTTTACATTGCTGAGTAATCAAACATATGTTACAATACAGAACAGGTTATACTACTATTTCTACATGTTTTATACACCACTATCAAACCAGAGTAATGGAAATACAATACTACTTATTTTACTTACGACAAATTTACTACTTAAGTTCTACTTATGAGAAATTATTCTAATCATTCAGTTGCCTCTAGCACACAGAGAAACCACCAGTTGAAGAAAATCATCTGTTTTAAAAGTTCAGTAACTGAATGAATGACAGTGAAATATAATATAATTGCTCTCCTATTCCTCTTTCCTCCAAGATAGAATCATTACATTTCTGTCAATTATGCTGGACACTCTTGTACCCCATCTTTGGGGTCATTGCTTACACTTGTGCAAAGTGACTGACAAAATAAACATCTCAAGGAATGCTTCCACATGAGTATTTTATTTAGAAATTGTCCAGACTCCCTTATGGAATTTTATGGGAAGGCCTTGATTTGTAACCTGACTGGGTTTTCATACTGTCTTTTTTAATCAGGAAAAAGAAAACTCTCAAAGAGAGAACCTATGCAATGCCTTTTGATCACCAGCAGAAACCTTCCACATCGAAGACAAATTCCACATCTACAGCTGAGCAATACCTGAATTAGGACCAAGCAAAATGTCCCAAAACAACATCATGCATTCAAGATCCCCAGTCTTGAACATCAGGCTAGAGTTAGATTAGGGTTTGTTAACCTGATGCTGCCAGATGTTAAGCAAGGCAAAAAGTACGAGATGTGGCAAGAAAGAAAAAGTCCCAAATTCTCTCCTTTCTGCTTTTTGTAAGAGCCAGCCTGATGGAGAGCTCTGGAAATTTTAAAAGCTTCCTTTCTTGGGGGAGGGAGATATTTTGGTTAATTTTAATAAAACTATTTCCCAACTGTTTTTTTTCCCTCACGGACCACCGAAGTTGTTTATTTAACAGCACAGATTTACTAAGGGGGCAAGTCTTATTTAGGATTTCTATTTATCTATCTTCATATGCTATAATAATAGTGGACAAAGCCAGAAGAAGAACAGAAGATTCTCAAAAATCCATTCATACCTTGAGAAAATGGGCATCTCATTCCTTTGAGGAATCAAGGTTCAAATGTTTGATTTCTTTATGTAACATTGATGTCTGAGGGGAAACTTAGTGGTCCAAATACAACATATAAATCCCACAGACATTCTGTTCAGCGTTGAATTAAACCCTTGACCACAGTAGTTTGATTTTCAGATTTGGCCTATGATGGTTTGCCTCCTGGTCACGATTGATGCACTGCAAACATCAACTGATGGCTGAAATTTCTTTTTGCTCCATGCCATTGCTAATGCAGTGCAAGCTCTGAGTTGTTGAAAAACGGTACCTAAAATTCCAAAGTGTGTTTCTTGCAAATAAAATATATAACAAACTGCTATGAGAAGCCACAAAAGGTTGAGATTAAAATAACAATAAAAAGGATACAGTATAGTGGGTCCGTGCATTTGTCTTTGATGAGATCATATAAGACCCCTGCAAGGCAAAAAGAATGAAATACAAATAATGGCTGACATAACCAAATTATCTTTTAAGACCCATTTTTAATTAGTGTATGTTTTCACACTGAATTCAATATATAGATTAGTAAATGCTGACTACGATTAACATTTTATTTTTATTATACTATTTACTAGTATTAACAAATTACTCCATTATTATTTAGATGATTAAGTTATATTAATAATGTTAAACTATTACATTATATTATAGAGATTATTCAATGATTCACGTATTGCTTAAATTGTCTACTATGTCAGTGCAATCAGTGAAAAATAGCTGTATCAAATGATTGCTATGTGTGTTCATGATATTAACTGTAAATAACCAGGATTCCTCAGTGTATATTAAAATGAATGTTTATCACTCAGGGATTTAAACAATGGGATACGTTGCCAAAGGGGGATGCGGTGGCGCAGCGGCTTAATGACGCTGAAAGTTGCCGGCCAGAAATGGT